GTGTGTGTGTGTGTGTGTGTGTGTGTGTGTGTGTGTGTGCATTTTATCTGCAAAATGTTTTGACCTGGCAGATGTGCTTGAAAAAAAAATACAGAGATAGGAGACAGAAGAATAAATATATGAATATCACTTTACAGAAAAGAAGAGATTTAATATAGCAAATTCTCTACAGCAAACTCAACATGCACTCATAAACAAATTAAGCAAATAAACTACGAAAACTGGCAACATAAAAAACCCCATAAATCCAAAACAGTGTTACTAGGCAAAAGAGACAAGAAATGTCAGGAAAATAAAGTAGGCAGGAGATTTCAAAACAACATAATGAATTTTCCACAGATTTTTCCAAGGCTCATTTTTCCAATTAATTATTCAGGTCCAGGGATCACTAAGACACGTTTATGGCTACACTGCAGCCTTGGCTGCTGCTGAGTCATCAGAGCATTTCTCTGAATTCCTAACATAAATTATTTAAACTGGACCCGGGAAACCACTTTGTGAGCATTGGTGAACTCTGTTATTAGACCCAAAGGACAAACTTTGAAACAGGTGAAAGCTGCACAGGTGGAATAAAAGCAGAACTGGGCCTGTGGTTACAGTCTAAAATAATCCAAAAGGCCTTAGGGAGAATGTTATCAGAAGCTCATCAGAACGGCATCACAGGAATGCAGCCATTATAGAAGCAGCACTTTGTACACAGCATGAAGACCAGAACTGATTACCACTGCCTGGTAATTACACAGATCCACGCATGCTGGTGTTATTGTTTGTTTGTTTTTTCCTGCATTTTACTGTCTTCACATTCATGCCAAAAGAAATCTGTTATTACATGACTGATGACATATGATGTATCTAATGTATCTTTCAAGGAGTTAAATAAAATGCAGACAAGATAAATGTGCCGCGCTGCAATCACATCAAACGGTGAATGCGTGAATTTCCCAGTTCACCGCTTACTGCTTCTGAATATCTGAATCTCCTTTCATCTGCACTCTTATTTCCCACCTATTGGAGAAAGCTGCTGAGTATGCCTATTAACAGAATTAAATTGGAGTCTCACAGCAGGTTTTCACTGACTGGCCATATGGATTCCCACTGATTGGTGGCTGAAAGTATTACTCTGATAAGCAGAACACTTCCAAAGTGTCAGGAAGCCTTCAGCACTTCTTTAAGTAAGCAAAGTTTGGCTCAACTTCCTTTGACTGTTGGCCAACGCAGATCAGTCATCACTAGGAGATTAACACAAAGATTAAGCAGGATCTTGTTCTTAATCTGACACCAATCTCCCAAAACAAAGCTCATGTGTAGTATGTCTATACATAGTCACACACAAAGGTTTAACTTAGCCCTCTTGACCTTTTGTATTAGTGCTAAAATAAATACACCAGCTCTCTGATTTTACTGTCCTATGGTAGTATGATTATTTAAAATAAATAACATTGAAAAAGGATTAAGGTGGGATGATTTTATTATCAGTTTATAAAGCATTTCTTCAGGTCTAGCTGTACCTTTTCCTGCTTCGAGCTGCAACCCCCTCCCTGTCGTAAACAGAATAAGGGTAGGGTGTCAGCAGCAATCAATTCAGAGGACATGTCCTCAGCCTGGTATGCAATGGCGATGGCTGCAGCCCGCTGCAGTGTGCTCCTTTATGAATGGGGAGCAACAGCAACTCCTTGAAAATTAGATGTTCAGTCGACCGACAAAACGGACACTTTGGGATTGCACACATGCACACCTCTGCAGCTGCCCTAACACTGACGGCACAGTACTCTAAATCGCAGATATCAGAGATCATGCCGGGTGGATGTGAGCTACAGGAACTCGCAGAACACTTGGTTTCCATCGAAAATGCCTTTATTAACCTTAAACAAAATGAGTTACATTAAAACCCGAACGTGAAATGAAGGTATGTTTCAGCTACACATGCGCACATGGTTACGTTCCATTGCAGAAAATACCTCGGGGTGTAGATGTTACAGCAAAAACTGGTTGCACAGGAATTACAGAAATCAAAAATATCACTGACAAGACAGCAGATCAAGGAAGAAATGTTGTAAAATGGTCATCGACAGAGGTGAGTTAGGCTTTCGATGGTGAGCAAAAGCAAAAATACGACAAACGATGGCAAACATTTTGTTCGGTAACTATTGACAAGAAAAGCTTTACAACATCACATTTCCTTCCTCTTGCTGGATTAGACTGCACTCTCTTAGTCAACTACAATCATAAGTCGCTCATATTAAAAGTTATCAAACACTAAAATATCTCATGTCGCCTCCTTCTTCACCGTCAGAGTTTACATATTTTATAGTCACTTACACTCCCCAGCTTAAACTTCTCTTACACATCTCTAAGTGAACTCACAGCTTAGTAAGATGAGAGTACACCTATATTTGTGTACACAGTGTCCAATATAGTCCTTATTTTCACGTTTTGTTTTTCTTTTACATTTTGATGCATATATTCGGGATGATCTTTAACATTTCGGGAGAAAATATCAATTTGTGACATTCCTAATTCTAACAATAGCATTTACTCAAATGTTCCTGGAGAAAAAATTGTTTGCTTTAACAGGTTTTTTTTAAAACACATTATTTTGATAAAACTTTACAGCACCAAAGGACAACAAGCCTGTACCATTCTAATTCATCAAGTCTGCCTTTAAAATGATTCAAAGTACACACAACATAGCAGGAAGACATTCAATATGAAACATTAACACATTTACATACATACTTATATATCAGTGAGTTATGAATTGATTATGGTGAAAATCTAAGACCACAGACCCATCTTCTTTGTAGTAGAGATGCACCAATAGCATCAGCAGTGTTGGAGATGCCAGAAGAAAAATAGCATCCAGATTTGTCGTCTACAAATGACATTTTTATATTGCAAAACTAGTTCGACATTAACAGGGCTGTGGGATCGCCACAGTTTTCACAGTTTTTGCCAACAGGTTCAAATGTAATAGATAACAGACAAGACAATTATATTCACACAGTCTCTTGTGTCAAGCAACTCCAACACTTTATTGTTATCTAGTAAGCAAATACCGCCACATATGAGCCAAACATTAAATTCAAAAATCACAGTCTATGTTGGCAGTGATCAGTTGGCTATTGATGCATCTCTCTAAGCCCACATCAGTCACCTCAGCCTGGATAATTAATGCTTTCTGGTATTGCATTGCATGGATGCTGGAACAAAGTTTACACAGACCAAAGCAGACAATATGCAAATACCCACTGGTGTAACAGCATAATACACTAAATTCTGCTATGACAGGACATTAGATATTCACAATGTATTTAAATAAACCAATGAGAGAAATTCAGCTCTGTACGTGCTAAAGTTAAGTTGCATGATTGGAACTATCATCGCTCATCTCATCAAAACGGATCTAATATGATCAAGTAGAGCACCGTAGCCCTGACATAAATTATGTCATCTTTGGAGACAAACAATACTGATGGATTCACAGTGGAAGTGCTCCAAAAACTAAGTGGTTATAGGAATAGTCTCTGTCAACATCCCGGCGCGATGGCCTCATTAAACGGAGAGCTTCCCTCTGAGGCCATGATGATGTAAACAAAGGCCAAAGTGATGTTCAGATTACAGTCGGAGCACTGGAATTAAAAGCAACATGTCTGTTGTTCCTCTAGCAGCTAAAGGCTAAACTTTGCACATGCTCGCTTTGATATTATTGTACAGATTTTTAAAAGCGCGGTGGATATTGGCATTTAACTAAAATGATTTGAACAACAGACAAGCTTCGTCAGCCACAGTGAAGGCGAGAGAGTTTGGAAGGCTGTGCCTCTGATCTAAGTAAAAAGACCTTAGATGTGAGACACACGTTTGTCCAGAAATGACAATAACATTTATAAAGGTGTACTGTATGATGAAAGCGAGCAGACAGTTTGCAATTTGAGAACGAAAGACAGTCAATCCGTTCACATAAAGTATAAGAAGTGTGAGGAGCAGCACTATTCTTGCACAGATGACTATTGTGTACATTTAAAGCAGCTAAAGATATTTAAACACAGCCACCTGTGTGATAGCTACTTGGACTATAGACAGACCTGCTCTGTGAAAAATATAGTTAAGCAGTGTTGTCAAGAATCTTAGATATTTTTGTTTCAAGGCTGTACATGTACAATAAGACGCTTTTCTTTAAATATATTAGTTAAAAAATAATTGTTGTGAAAATAAGATCTGTTCTTTAGCAGTCAACCTGAAGAAGAGAAGAAACAAAAAAGGTCCACAGGTAATTAGAGGTAAACTTAACCTTTCAAACAGCTACTTCAGACATTTTCCTTGTGATAAAAGCTATGCTGGAGGATTTCATTCAGATAAAACAAGAAATTATTGTAAAGAATAAAGAATAGGAGTCCTGAAAAACCTGTTCTTTATAGTTATATTTATAAAGAATTCTTAAATTCCATCCATATATATATATATATATATATATATACACAGAGAGAGAGAGAGAAAGATATTTAACATTACTTCATTGTCTTTGAACTTTGTCAAACCAGCTTATTCTTCATAATTTAAATATGCAAAACGTAAAATAATTTATGTTGAATAGGCTACAAATGTATTGCTAAGAGGCAGATTTTTGTATGGTTAAGTATGATGTCCCTGGATTGTTTTACATTGTAAATTTAATGACGTTAAACATCTAATGCATTTAACTCCATTCAAGCCCAATGAAGATAATACTGTACAACACAAATCAACAACTCCCTACATCATGGCTTAGAATAAGGCATTTAAATGGCGTGATAGTAGGAAATAATAAGTTGAATATCTAAATTAAATAACCACCTTATATCTCCATCTTTTAGGGGGGGCGGGGGGGATAAGACATGTTTACCCCAGTCTGCAGGTGATGACCAGGGGCGTATGCTACCATCAGCTAAAATGCTTTCTTTTTGCTTTTGAGTCGATGTTTGCACACATGCAAACTGACAGTTACAGCATCTTGAAATGAGTAGTGATGCCTGAAATTGGCATTACCCGGCACGTTCTCCGTGGCGCGTGTTTTTATATTACATAACGAGAACATGCCCTCCCAAAGGGCACCAAGCTGTACAGAGCCCTGACATCAAGGCAACATATCGAACAGCATCCCACACCGGGAAGCCTATCAGGCTTAAACAGCAGGCCATTTCAACCCTCGGTGCGTCGCCACCACAGGGTCACTGTTTGAAATATCGTGGTAAAATATTTTCTCTGTCACGGAATGTATACAGCTGACAATGACGGAATAATAATGATTTGAATCTTTTGTTTTACAGGCTTATAAGGTACCCGGGGATAAATTGCGCTCAAATGGCGCAAGCGTGTCACTGCATACGTCAAAGCTCAGATAAAATGAATCCATCCGTTTTCCCATTCCCGAGGTGGAGACATCTTGAACCGGTGACGACGGACTTTGTAGTTGTTGCCGTTATTATTGTCCCAAAACTCTTGCCCGCCGACACAGTACTTAATTGCAAATTGCAATGTTCCTCCGTTGTCTGGGTATGTGGGCATAACTATCTTGAAACAGAACTTGTCGGTGTCACCGTCGCTCGAGTTAGGAACATAGGACGCCAAACTGTCCATAAAGGTTATCCAGTTGTTTAGGGAATAGCGCAAAGAGACGCTCTTTTCGAAAGCCAGATTCAACACGCGCACGAAGCCGGAGAGGCTGAATTCGTCTGCCTCCACGGTCTCCAACAGGACATTTACCTCCCTAACTTTCTGCTCGAAGCCGGGTAATGTGCCTGGGTTGGTGAACTGCAATTCCATGAACACAGACTGCGCAGGAGCCCGGGGGAATTTTGTTTCCAAGTGATGAAGGTGAAGGGGTCCCTTGGGTAATTTTGCCATTATGCGCTCAGGCACCTCGGGAACATCTGTGTCGTCGAAATGCTTCACTGAAATGAGCTCCAGGCCCAGGGAGTCCGCGAAGCGGACTTTTTTCTTAATGGTTGGGCTTCTGCTGCGGGCGATCTCTAACTTTGCTCTCTCTGTAGGTGTAGGCAAAGACGTGCACCTCCGACGCAGATTAGGGCTCTGTGGGGGCTTCAGGGAAATCTCCCTGCCCCTTGGCCTCTCATTCACCACTGCGCTCTCGATAGGCTCACAAGTGGCGTTCACCATGTCAAAATCATCCCCATCTTCAAGCCTCGGATTTGCCGCTGCAAGACTCCCGAATAGTCCAGCTATGCAGCTGTAGTTCCTCGGCAGGCAGTTCTTTGGGGGGAGCATGACCGCGACAGGGTGCGCAGACTCCGCTTCCATAAAACGTTGGAGTCCCTGAACTGCAGAGCCGGAGTAGTCGTTATGGAGAAAAACCGGCGATGCAAGAGATGGAGCCGTCAGGTGTTAGTGTGCAACTCGAGGATAGGTGCTCTGCCTGCGTCAGAAGCTGACACTCTGCAGCCTTGGACCAATAAACCAAAGTGTTGTTGCTTTCCGCAATTAGCGCGACTCTCCTCTTGCAGATGCTTCTTTAAAAAACTAAAAACCAAAAATCCATCATAAAATAAATATGGAGAGCTGTTTGCTCAAAAAACAACAACAAAAAAAAAACCAAATTCCTTCCTCTTCACATCAAATAGCTCCTCGTTTCCACTTGAATGTGGGGAAATTCATGCGTGTTCTCTCACAGCTGATCTCTTCCCGGGGCAGAGGTTGACGTCTCATCTACATTTACGTGCAGAGATGCGCGTTTAACTGACCAAAATGGTTTCCTTCTTCACGAGTTTTCAGCTGGTTTACTTCCCCGTTTGAACGCTGTGACATTGAAAACAAACCGCATGAAATAAATAATTTAGGTGCATCAAAAACAGTTATGTGCTTTTGTCTTCAGTCTGGTACATCCAGATATTGTGTGCATAACTAGATTATCAAGCGTTCCCGTGTAAAAAAAAAGAAGCTATTGTGTTGATTTTTTTATACTTAATACAGATATAGGACAGTAATGTGTCGGTAATGTGGCGGCGTGACGTCAACTCCAAAGCAGGAGCGCAGGAACCCCTCCCCCTTTCTCTACGGCTTGACGGTACGGGCTTTTAAGTGTCACCATGACGACGGCGTTGCAGTTGGTCTCTAAAGGCATTCACCGTTTCTTCCGCTTTTGTCCTACAAAACTCTCAATCGGGAAATAAAAAAGTCGTCACCACGACAGATAGCACACAGCAGAAGTTGTTTGTGAGTAGCAACAAATATTATTCATGTATTTCTTAATTTCCTCGTTTAATAATCCAGTTTGCTTTATTTTGGTAAGCAAAGTCAGCGGTAGGTTTGTTAAGTTGATCATATTTACAGTAAAATTGCTACTCAAGATGCATTTTTAAGTAATTAAGGAAATTCTGTTTTCTATGACCCTTTCGAGATCTCACCATGAGTCAAAGGACCTAACTACATCATGACCTCGCAAGAAAGGGATCGTACAGCTGTGGACAGAGCAGACGGGGAGCTGTCAGCACCGGAGAATGCAGCTGGCGAGCACGAAATAGCAGAAAGGAGACTTGTTGAAAGCCTTTTAGATACCAGCGAGGAGAACTTCTTGAATGAGAAGGAGCTAAATGAGTTCCATTGTTACTCTGGTTGGGAGGATGCTGTAAGTGATCCAATATCCTGTTACTGTACCTCTCTTAATTTGTTACCTATATGTAGTTGCAATTTTGTTTTTAAGTAAGTGTCTTCTATGTCACAGTTTGGACTCAGTGATAAATTGAACAAGTATTTAGGCGCCTTCCCTGTTTTTTTACACTTATGTGTTTCAGATAATCAAATTGTAATATTAGTCAATGATAACCCTAGTAAATAGAAAATGCAATTTTTAAACAATTATTAATTCATTAAGGGAAAAGGGCTATCCATTTCTATCTGCTCCAATCTATCAAAGTCATCTATCTATGAAATCTATCAAAGCCAGTCTGGAAAGAGTTGCAAAATCATTTCTAAGGCTTTGGGAGTGCAGTGAAAGACAGTGAGAGCCAGTTTCCATAAATGGAGAAAACTTGGAACAGTACTGAATCTTCCCACTAGTGACGGACTACCAAATTTACTTCCACAGCCCGTCGATGACTCATGTAGAAGGTCATAAAAGAACTCAGAACAACATCTAAAGAACT